GCCTGGGAAATCCTGTGGAGGAGTTCTAGTCTACCTGATAGGGTATAGAGGAGCTGGAATGAACTAGATGGCGATAAGTTTTCTTTTCTTTTCTTTTTTGGTAACAAACTCTGTCCCATAGAGCAAACTTCTTCAAACTTTTGGATAGCATAGAGAGACAAATGAATGTGAAGAATGCTATTCTTCCATGCATCCCAAAGTGATCTAAGGATACTTTTTGATTCAGTGGTACAATCTTATAACCAGAATGCAAAGGAAATTTTGAGTCTATCATGATCCTAAAGTACGTTCTATCTGAGAGCTCCAACTAGATTAATTGGGTATTCCTTGTTCTATGAGAATTTGGAAAAATTGATCATCTGTTTTTAACCATCACTGCAGCAGCTGTATAATATTAATGTATCTTAATATAACAAAACCCACTGCCATTTAGCAAGCTATGAGTTATAGTAGCTCTCTCCAGGGTTTCCAAGTTTGTAAATCTCTGTGAGAACAGACAACCTCAATTATCTCCTGTGGAGAGTCTGGGAGGTTTGAACAACTAACCATTCATCCAGCAGTCCAACACCTCCCCAACAGCTCCACCAGGGCTACTTACTACACCACACAGGACAGTTAAAATAAATTAATATGAATCCATTGATTGTTTTAATAAGTCAGTAAATATTTAGCAACAGTATATTCAACATACACTCCAATGGCAATAAAATAAGTTTTGTAAAATCACAAGCAAAATTGGGAGAAATCGTGATATCTTAATTCTCTAAAATAAACTTGCCTTCTCATTTATTTTTCTGTTTCCTCTCATTATTCTTATGTCTCATACACAGTTTTTTTTCATAAAATATAATGAAAATCTTAAACAATCATTATAAATCATAGCTATAAAGATGAATGCCAACAGAGAAATATGCAGGACAAAACTTAAAGGACAAAAAGCAAAAGTGTGCTTGTGCGGCAAAAATCACTTTTATGTAAAATGGAAATATCCTCAAATAAATATAGAGTAATTTAAAGGACCTCATTATTGAGGGTTGTCACATTCACAGCTTTTTGAAAAATCTGATATACAAATTTTTTTTTTAACTTTGGAATCTGTTGCTTGAAAGTAAAACAATTATTTTATTGGTAAAACTGGATGAGAGAGAGGAAGATTTACTAAGGCTTTAGAATAGGAGCTTTAGCAGTGTAATCGCTTACACAGTGGGCAGCTAACCACAAGGTCAAATTTGAACCCACCTACCACTCTCTAGGGCAGCAGTCCTCAACCTTTGTGTCGTGACCCCTTTGGAGGGCAAATGACCCTTTCACAGGGGTCGCCTGATTCATAGCAGTAGCAAAATTACAGTTATGAAGTAGCAATGAAAATAATTTTATGGTTGGGGGTCACCACCACATGAAGAACTGGATTAAAGGGCCGCGGCAATAGGAAGGCTATGAACCACTGCTCTAGGGGGAGAAAGATGAGGCTTTCTCCCCCAAAAGATTCACAACCCTGGAACCCACAAGGGCAATTCCACTCCAAACCCTCCAAAGGGTTTCTATGAATCAGAATTGACTCGACAGTGAGGTTTTTCTGCTTATTTCTAAGAAGTGTTAGAGCACACAATTTAGAGATATATGGAGTTTTATTTAAATGCAAATGGTGGTATATCGTAGTATCTGTGTGGCCCTAACTAAGTAACTCACCTTTCCTCCCTTTCAGGTTATGATCCATCTTATTTTATATGGTTATTGGAAAGAATCAGAAATTCTCACAGTGTTTACATTGTTCAATAAAAAAACTTTGAATTGCATTCCTTATTTATTAGTGTGTTGAATGGTTATAATTTCATAATATTAAGGTAGAAAAGTTGAAAATATATTCACGTCTGTTCATTTAATTAATTCTTATAGTAATCCTATTTAATTATTAATACTGATTTCACTGAATGAGAAGTTATAAGAAGTATCATAGGCTATCACATATGGGAGTCAACCTTTATATTTGTTCAACTTTAAACCCAAAGTTCTTATCCACAAGGCAAAGCTACCTTTTACTATACCATCTTCCAAAATAAAAACAGGAAAGCTCCCTTGCTAAGAATACTTACATCAAATCATTACCTTTTATAAGATGTATAAATGCTACATCATATTATGTCTTTAATGTATTTAGTTAACATATGGAAAATATATTTTCCTTCATACTATCAAAATACCAAAAAATGTAACTGCTAAGTCATAAAAAGAAAATGTAGTATCATTAAAGCAGAAAAATTGCAAGTTGTTGAGGCTTGCTCTTGGGCATATCTGTGGCTTTTAGATACCAAACAAATTGTCTGAAGTCTCCACATGTTGTTACACAAACCTAAACACCAGATCCTCCGGTCTCACAATGGAGAGGGTTAATGATTCATCTGTAATCCTAAAGGCTCCTTCCAGGATTAAAAGACTTTCCCTGCAGCCGGCCTATCGCCCTCTTGTTGATCCAATGAAGAGCATTTCCCTCCATTGCTTTGCCTCTTTTGCCATTATCAGTTTATTTCAACCCCTATCTGATCTCTCTCCACCTACACAGTTTAGTAGGAATCAGTCAGTTAAAAGGGGTCAATTTGGAAACAAAACGGATTTGGTTAGAAAGCAGGAACTAATTTTGTCTTTTTCAAACTCAAATTTTCATTCTTAGTTCTTAGTCACAATTCTGTTGGCATTAAAATCAATGAAATAAGGACTGGTAGAGAATCTCATATGTTTGGTTTTCTCAGCAGGAAGGAGAAGGTAAAATTGAACCAAGGATGAGGAACTGAGCTATTGAGACAAGAGAGGGGTGTGAACGTGAAGGAGCCAAAGTCTCTATCCTCAGAAAGCTTATGTCCACAGCAGGGAGGAGATACATTAATTTCCCATTAAGATAAATTCCAACAAAGGCTATGAGGGTACATAGAAAGAAATCAGGGGACTAAAGAGACCTAGAAGAAGGAGTCCATGAGACACTCTTAAAACGACTGAGCTTACATAGGAAAGAGACAAAAGGATGGCTGGGGGAAAACGAAGGGAACCAGTGTAATCATTAGGTGAGAGCATATGCGACATGGTGACATGGGAGAAGGAGTAAATGATAAGATCGGAAACATATTGGGACTCAATCATAGGGGATTGTGAATGTCAAGGGGAGAAAAGTCTGTTTCTAATTAGTAAAAATGACAAGTCAATGAAAGTTACTAAGCAGGAGATGAGAATGTATTTGAACTTGAAGAGGTCAATTGAAAAACGTCTGTAGAACGAAATGAAAAGTGAGGCCGAGCCACATATGGCCTCCTCTCTGGGGGACGGGCAGCAGCGGGGTGGGTGAAAGGAGGCGCCGGACAGTGTAATATAAGATACAATAATAATTTATAAATTATTAAGGGTGCATGGGGGAAAGGGAAGGGGAGGGGGGGAAAATTTTTAAAAAAAGGAAAATGAGTGGATTCCGGGTACCCAAGAGGCAAGAAAATTTTGGGAATGATGAGGGCAACAAATGTATAGATGTGCTTTACACAATTGATCTATGTATTGTGACGAATTGTATGAGCCCCAATAAATTGATTAATTTAAAAAAAAAGAAAAGTGAGGCCGAGTGCTGAATATGGAAATGTGGAGAAATAGAGTCAAGAGGTATTTAAAAGTAAGACCAACTGATATTTTTTGTCAAGAAACTAGGGCTGTGCTCTCCACAGGGCTGAGCCACTAGCCACATGCAGGGACCGGATACTTGAAACAAGGTTCATCTGCTTAAGATGTGCTGTAAATCTAAACGGCACATTGGATTTCAAAATCTTGTTATGGAAAAAGGATGTAAAATACTTCATAATAATGTTTACATTGATGACATGGTAACAAAATACTTGCGATATGCTGGGTTAAATAAAAAATACTGTTAAAATCAATTTCGCTTCACTCCTTTAATGTGACTACTAAAATCCAGAAACATATCAACTCACTGTCATGGAATCATTTCGGACTCATAGGGGTCCTATGGAGAGAGCAAAACTGCTCCAGTGGGTTTCTGAGACTATACATCTTTACAGGAGCCTGAAGCCTCATTTTTCTTCCTCGGAGTGACTGGAGGGTTCAAACTGTTGACTCTGCAGTTAACAGACCAGTGCAAAAACCACTAAACTACCACAGCTCCCTATGGCTACTACAGAATCCTTAGAGTATGACCTGGAGAGAGGGGTATGATCAACAGTGAGGCAATTTGGAAATGGCTACTCTTTCAAGAAACAGCAATGAGAAAAAATAATAGAACAATGTGGAAGGTATAATGAGTTTGACATTTCCCCTTCCAATATATAAGAGTTTGCTGGTGGGCAGAGGGAAAAGAGAAATTGAAGAGGCAGAGGGCATTAAAACGATTGATGGGCAAGAACTGGCAAAGTGGGCATTCTTCAGAGATCGACATAAAAGAAAGCATAAGATACCACGAAATAAAATATATGATAGTTTATATTATGCTTTTATTACATTAACATTACTAAAGGTCATTTTCTTAAAGAAAACAGAAGGTGGTGTTAGGAAATTATCTAGGAAAGAAAATTCCAGGAAGACTCTGAACTCTCCTTTCGGTTCATAGCTCTTCAAGTCCATGGCTTTGGCCCTTCTCCTTGGCATTGTTGTGGATTACAGTCTGCCACTTAATTAGCTATACGCATTTTGCTATGGCACCTTCAGTAGTAGCTTCACAGTAATAAAGATGTTTCATTTAGGTTATTTCAGCAGAAACAATAGTGAATTATAATTATGATTTTCTGCATAAGTTTGTATATTTAAACGTTACACTAAAATAAACTTATTTTTAGTTCTTATTGTTGGCAAAAGTCTAATTCAACCAAAAGATAACACTATTTGGTGTTATCCAACTGACCGTTTCCTGATCATGAAATACATTTCACAATATTTGACAATACAGTACTACATCGGTAGCAGCATTCCTGTGCTGCAAGGGCAGCTCTGAGCTGTTTGTTAATGTGTCTTACTTTGAATGGCCTCTTGTCCCAAGGCGTCGTGTAGTTAGGAGTGGAAATTTCTGGCGAATTGTCTGAAAAGAAAACCAACCACTTTAGTTTTTGGAAACATTGTCATTCTATTGCAGTCTGTTCACAATCAATACTTCAGGAAAGTGAAGATTAAACTGTGGGCAAACATTAGTCTGGAAAAATAATTTATATATATTGATAAGCAATAAATCAAGCGCAGAGGCAAGCAAGTCCTTTTTGGATTGGAGTATTCCGTTGCTCTGATCACATTTTTTTAAGTCAAATCGCTACAATACCTGCTTTGCTTGATTTTACTATCAAAGCAGTTATTATAGCATGTGTACACTTGGTGACAAGATTCGAGTTTCTTTCGAGTAACTCCACCCCAAATTGCTTCTCAGGCCACTATCTGCCTTTCTGGATGTTCACAATAGTATTATAACATTTTTTGGGGGTGCTATAGTTCTGTCTCTAAATTTGCTAAAAGTAAGATCTGCTTATAGAAGAAAAATGTCTTCTTTGTAAAACAGGAGTTTTAAACCCAGATCCTCAGAGATTCCTGCATGAGCTTCCAAGAGTCCCAGGGAGCATGTAGTGCACGGGTAAGTTTTCTGGGGACTTGGTCTATCTACAGTTTTTATTAGAGTCCCAAGGTGTCTCATGACCCTCCAAACAATTGAGAATTACTGCCATAAAGTGTTCTCATAAAATGGTAATGATAACATGGTCATTAGAAGCTCAGCCTCCTTAATTTCAACCTCCACTTTATAGGGTGAGTGAACTGAATTTTAAAGAGGGTCAGGCCCTCTCACAAGGTCTCACAACATATTAGTATCAGTCCATGCAAGAAGTTTATCGCATGTCACAAATAAGATTTGTTAGTCTTTTCTTTTAAAGTGAAATCTGGACCACAGCATTCATTATTTTCTAAACGAGTCCCTCTGTGGGTTCTAATTTGGATTTCATTTTCTAGGAAATGGAATATTTGAGACCTAAACGTCTACACCTTCTCTAGGATTTCCTAGGTTCTCAGATGACAGGGGTGTGACCAAGAATCTCACAAGAAAAAGACTTCCCCAAGATTCTGTTTTCTGATTCTCAAATGAGATCAATATATATACATATAATACTGTTAGTTCTATAGACTTCAATCCTAAACATGCAGGTTGGTTATAAAGGCATGTTTTTAAACAAGAGAAATATAATCAAGCTGATCATAAAATCTTGGGAGTTTGAGGTTAAAGATATACAGAGTGAAATGGAAATTTTAAAAATGGTTTAAATTATAGATTTTTTAAATGTATTGAAAAACTCAAATACTTGGACTGGCTAAATAAAGATAATTACCAATTGCATTAGCATGATACATGCTACTTCCATTAATTCGTTTCCTTACACAATGAACTTTGCTTTAAGATCACATGAAAGCTTCTAATAGCCAGGACTCTAATAATCAAAATGTACAGCAGTTCTAAGCACAGCTCATAAGAGATTTCATCTATTCTTGTGAACCAGTAGTCTGATATTCTCTAAAACAACGCACACATGTGGAGCGAGCACAAGCAGTCTGTATCACTTACCTTTCCAAAGGTGGCAGCACAGGCTGGCTCCAATTTCTCTTTCCTGCAGAAATCTAAATAATGTGCATAAAGGATGCACCGCGGTAAGCAAACGCCTTCACACACGATATAATTTTCGTCAAGCCTACGAAAAAAGGCAAAAGAAAAAAAAAGAGTAACCATTTTCTTATTTTTCATCTTTTACTCCTTTCATATCGATTTACTTCACATGTTAAATACAAACTCTGTACAAATGAGCTCATGAATAAACATCCTTTATCCCCAATATGACTACAAATCATACAAATTAGAAAAGCAAGAATTCACAATTCGTTTTTACAAAACCAAGTTGCTGTTGAGTTGACCCCAACTCACGTGTTGTTATATGGAACTTCCTAACATAGGATTTTTTCCAAGAGATTGGCAAGATTTGCTTTCAAGGTGCCTCTGAGTGGATTCAAACTGCCAAACTCTGTTAGTAGTCAAGCTCTCAACTACCCAGGACCACATGAATTTCTATTCTCACTGACCTCCATCTAGTGAATGCTGACTCATAGCAAACACTTATGGGTTTCTGAGACCGTAACTGTTGATGAGGTAGAAATCCCAGTCTTTTTCCCATGGAGTTGCTGGTGGTTTTGAACTGTCAACCATGAGGATAGCAGTCCAAAGCATAACCACTACACCACCAGGGCTCCAGGAATTTCTTAGTGAAGTTAAAAACCACTTCTGTCTGGTGTACATCCCAAATATTGGGTCTCACATTTGTATGCATCCTCATTCTTCATCCCAGTTTGCTTTGTGATACAGAACTGTGAATGATGAAATTAAAGATTATGGTGTTTTCCAAGAACTCACCATCCCCAACACAAAAGGTCTACCAGGCTTCAGGTTATCAAAGCCTTCCAATGTCGTACTGTAATTCACTAACAAGTGCTTCACCGCAAGCAGTTGAGGAAGGTGGTGATGTATTCAATTTCAGGATACATAAGAAAAACTCATTTGGGTTGTTTGTTTTTATTTTTCTCAGTTTTATTGGCATATGATTCACACATCAGACAATTCAATAGTTTAACCACACCAAGAAGAATTGTACAATCATCACCCTAATCAGTCGTACCAAATTTTCTTCATTCTTGTTCTTATCATTATTAGCTCCCCATTTTACCCCAACCTTCCAGGCCATAGCCCCAAGAAACCATTAATCCAGTTACTATTTATATAGATTTACCGATCCTGGCTTTCATTTTTTGTAAGACTGAAATATATTTATATCTATTTATATACCTTCACATTTTTTGTGTGATCGATATTATAATTATCTAAAATCCTGTACATTTGAAATATGCATGTAGCTTTTCATAGACACCTCCAAATTCATAACATAGATAACTTCAACTGTTTCAGTATTATTATAGAAATTTTAAACATTTAAAGATAATCCCATCCCATTGTATCTCTGCCATAACAATGAAGTGTTATTTATATAAATGCAATAAATATATATTGAAGCATTGCCAGTTCCTGAACAGTAACCCATCTAGAAATTATAAATTCTATATTATATTTCCAATTTTCAGTAATTAATCTTGGCTGAGTTACTTAGAGTTTATGTACAGTAAATGGAAATAATTAAAATACAGAAAAAATGCAAGTCATATAAAAACAAGGTAGAATTCAGAAGAATTTCTGATCTAACTTATTCCCAATGTGTCTGAGATAAAAGCTAAAGATGATCTCTGAATAGGTAAAAGAATAAAAAATCTATTTTTATTTAGGAAAAATAAAAGAGAGAATGTAAACCTGAAATATCTAGTGTTTCAATATAAAAATTCAGTTTGCATACATAAAATCAAACACATAGTTGACAGGGAAAATTAATCAGTCATATTTTTATTCTGATTTTCAGTTCAAATGTTTAACATCACAAAGATCATCTATTACTTTAAGGAATGCAAGAAAGTTCTCATAATGCCAATAATTCACTTTGTGAATACTAAATAAATAACATGCAAGTTTAACGGGCCATGCAGAAAATTCATATCAAAATGACAAAAATTTATAGTTTCAAAAAGTATAAAAATCATGAAGAAACATTTGGCTATGTAAAAATGATATTTTAATGTATATGACACCCACTTTTCACTTGTCTATTTTGATATTATAGTATCAAATGTAATAGACAATGTCTTCAAAGTCCCAAATAATTTTATGCATAGATATAACTTTACCTGGGATTATAGAATTTTGTCTTTCATTTTAACATATGTACATTTATAAAATAAAAACTCATTCAGTTTGAACGGAAAACATCATTGAAGTGAAGAGTGATCATTTTAAACACCTCCATGACTTCTAAAATAGAAACACTCTTATCCCAATTTCCCTATGAAGAATTGTGTCCGAAATATTCCAGATAGTCCTATTATTTACTATTCCCATGTATTCTTACTAGTAAGCATGCTATAAACTTTAACAGTTAAACTATAACTTTAAATTGCTATTTGGTTTATTTTTCAAGTATTTAAAAAGATTGAATTATAACATTTCTAAAATATTATTATCTACACTATAATACAATGTTTAAATGTTTGGATTTACTAGTTTTAGATCAAAATAAAATTTACTATTTTTTAGATATTATTTTTCTACTATATTTTCTAAGGTTTAGAGCTAAGGTTATATATTTTCTATGTAAGCAGATACAACTAAGCTATAACTAAGCAGTAAGCAAACAACATTTTTTATTGCTATGTTTATTATTTGAAATTTAAGGGAACATATATATATACTTCTCTTTCTTCATATACAGTAGAAGGTTAATATTATATTTTTAAATCCTTATTGCATTTATATCAATATTTAACAACGTTCTCTCTACAGAGAAAGCCTTTTCATACATTATTTTCTCCAGACTTTGCCACAAAAATCCAATTTGTGATATTTTATGATAATGAGTTATATATGGCATGTACTGGAAAATAGTTGAACAATAATTTTGTTAATAGTGATGCTTTGCCTGATTTTTTAAAAGTCTACTTTAATTCAGTTTACAACCAACACACTTTTTAATTTGCCCTCTTATAATAAAGGCAGTGTTAAAGTAAAAATCAAAGTTTTCTAAAAAACATGTTTTATAAACTCACGAGCTGTCAAATAAACAAATATAAGGACCACGTTAGGCAAAAAAAAAAAAAAGTTATGGCCAAAGCAGTGCTTATGTTTAAAGAAATGGTGGTTTTAGCTAATGATGAGCAATGCAGTCGGTTTTTCATTTGTGTTTCATATCATTTTGAGAACTGGTAGAACCTGTCCCTATACCAAATATTCATGAAGAGGGGGTTGGGGGGGTAGGCTGAATCATTCTCATGTTTCTTTCAAACTTCCAGAAGGTCTGAGAGAGGAGCAAATTGTGCAAAGCACCTGCGGGGACATTGGCACTGCAACTTCCACAGGTGCGTCCCGCGCAGCTCGGCGCGGGCCTGACTCACCACTGCAGGGTCAGCTGCGTCTGCCGCTTCTTATCCTTCATGACCTGCGCGACGCTTTTCTTGGGCGAGAGGTGCGGGTCGGCCGCTCGCCGGCGGCCCTCCCGGCCGTCCGCATCCTCTTCTTCCGAGGAAAAGCTCCCGTTGCTTCCCCGCATGTCTGACGGTTCCGCGGACAGGGTGACAAAGAAAAGCGCACAATCAAAGCCACGAAGCGACCTCGGGATATGCGTAGACCTTGGCGTCCAACGCGGTGGCCCAGCGGGGTGGCGGCAGATGCGCCGCATCACCTGCCGCTCAGCGCCGCAGGTGGACACGCGTGTCCCCGGGAAATAAACAAAGATCGGGGCAAACCTCC